GAGTAGTTAAGAAAAGTTTCAGTTGTGTTCAGCTTGCATCATTTGGTAAATTCAACTGTTTTATCCAGCTCTAATGAACTCTTTATTAACTTTTACGATAAAGTGATCTTATACTTTATGCCACCTGTCACTAGTTATTGAACTTGAGAATAGTTATCAGCTTAATCCCAACAACTGGGTAAACAACTTAGACATAATAATTTATGAAGTGTTTTCGTGAGAATAAGGATCATTGCTTAGATAGAATGAGTTAAACATAAGAGTGAGAGGATATCTACAATGCCATTTTTAAACACATAGAATAAGTTCTTACAATATTTTAACTCCATTCAGAAATAACCAGTGCAATATGTCTAAATTGCTTCATCTGATATTGACTATATTTTCAGCATATTTGTGTATAAATGTAACAGACGACGTCAGATAACAACTGGAGAATTATTGTTTCTCGCTGATGTTCCATAATAGCTGCATCGTTAGCTTATCCTAAAATAGATTACTAGACACCGGAAATTGTTAATTACAATTGTATTTAATGGCCAGAAGCTATACTGTGATTATTGGGTAATTACCAAACTATCTAAATGTATGAAGAACATTTTCAAAACTTATAAACGCAATATTGGTTCACTTTGTTGCCACGTCCTCCAGTAGCAAAATAATTACTTTAATCTATATTTGAAGTGTGTAGAAGTCCAAGTTAATAAGGTAGACCTCAATTCTGCAATGACATATGTAGCCGTTATGTCTTCGGACAGTCATAGAGTATAGAGTTCTGTAAATAAAAACAAGACCCAATAGGTTGAGCACTTTCCTCCATTTTTTATTTTTTTTTCATGAAAGGTTAAAACTTTCAGATCGTTTTGTTGACTTTTATAATCCCTTTCTAATGATTCATGGCGCCGTCATATTTGGAAATGGTGTCTAATGTGAACTGAAAATAGCCAAAGATAAGTGATTCCTAGGAATTAGACACTGATCGTGTTTTCCCTGTACTCATAATATCCAGTACTTAGGTTGTTCTAAAGAAAATCTTGAAATCACTATTTATAAATCGATGGTTTTTACGGTAGTCCAGATGAACATAAAACAGGAATTGAAATGCCTTCTGAAGAATTTTTTTTTGTTACCGATAACAACATTATTGTCCAGGAAATCAAAGAGAAAATGAAACTACTAGAAACAATGGAATTCTGAAAGTTGAGACGTTTCGTTTTTTGTTTTTTCCACGGTTTGGCATATCTGCAGAGATTGATCAAGAGATGTTAATGCTAAGTTCTAAGAACTGGACGTGTCGCTTATTTATTTCTTTGACATGTGCAATATTTATGAAGATATATACTTCTTGAACTATTAATTTTTCAATATTTTAACAACTCGGAATACTTGTGACGAGGAACTTTGGTGCTGAAAGAAGTGCTTTGTGTAAGCTTAAATATTCATTGCAAAAACTTTTTATATTACTGCAGGGTACGTGCCAGAAAAGGCAAACTAATTATTTCTATTTTTTGTTCATAGCTATTCAAATAACATTTTATTGATGCAAATATGTCTCGACAAAATCTACTTTTCGGTTGGGATTTTGATCATTACTATTCAGTTTAGTCAGTAGGCGTTAGTTTAATCATTTTTTTTCTCCTGCCGGTGATACATTCTTAGAAAAAGCTGGTCTGACGTACAACAGTATTATAGGTCTAGTTTCATTAAAAAACGAATCTCTCGGGTTTCCTTTTACTTCTGAGAATACGTGCTATTGAAAACAATTGTGACAAGAGAAAATTAAAGCTGAACTTGCAGCAAAAAATAAAGGTTTGGCTATTTTTTAGGCTTCTAATCTGTAAAATAAGCGTATTGTAATCATACTAATGCAGTCAGAAAATGAAGAAGAGTTGATTAACTTGGCTTACAACTGAAATCGTGACCGTTTTAAAAAATTAACGTAAAAACAGACAGTTCATCACCATTCTTGCAAAAAAGCAAAAAAGTTTTTTTAATAAATATCAAGGGATAAACTGTTAAAAATGATAACTCTAGTGTGATTTTTCAAATGTTCATGTTTTGAATTTTTTGTCTATGACTTCAGCATTGAATTTATATCATTTTTACACTTTTCTTTTTGGTGGCTTAGCAGTAAACTTGGAGGCTTAAAACGACAAACTCTGAGGTTCGAGCCTTGTGCAGGGGATACCACGGATAGCTCATTGTGGAACTTTACTCTTAAAAACAAACAAATAACATGTATTTAATAATTTCCTTTCAGTGAACTAAGTTGAGTAAATTTTCACGTTGGAAAATTACTATGTTAAGACTTTCCATCCATGGCCACAAGGTTATTTATGTTAAGACTTTCCATCCATGGTCACAAGGTTATTTATGTTAAGACTTTCCATCCATGGTCACAAGGTTATTTATGTTAAGACATTCCATCCATGGTCACAAGGTTATTTATGTTAAGACTTTCCATCCATGGTCACAAGGTATTGAGATAAGTACAATCGTACTCAAAATTTGTAGCACATGTTCATTTCTTTAAAAACAAACATTATTAACATAGCACTTATAGGGTGAGTAAAATATTCATTTCTTTCTTTTTTTTATTTTTTAGTTTTATGATTGCTTAGGAATCTTAACCTTTGATTACCGACATAGGGTTAATTTTGTAATTAGTTTGTGACCTATAAGTCTGACATAAATTATCATAAAATCAATTATAAACTCTATTTGGGTTTTCACAAAACGTTTCTAATCTTTATTTATTAATTGTTTTTCTTTTCCAAAATGACAAAGTGTGCGTTATATATATGCGCAAAACATAACAACGGTTATCTGCGTATAGCCCTCCTTAATTCTTTACTGATAGGCTAGAGGGAAAGCAGCTCGTCAACAACATCCACCGGCTAATCTTGGGCTACTCGTGTCTGATCAAATAGCGGGATTTGACTGTTATTCTTATAAAGCACCACGACAGCATAGTTCAGGCGCGTTTTTGCGAACATGAATCCTCGGATTCACAGTCCGGGCACTCTTTCCACTGGGACAAACCCGGCCCGTCAGTGAATGTAGATTACACACACAGCAGTTTGTAAAGAAATGAGTCTAACAATTAAAAGTTACAGCTTTTATACCAGATGCGTTACAATCCACCTTACTATTACATTAGATGAAGTTTGCCAATGTCATGTGAACTATTAATAAGTCATTTTACGTTATAAAAAGCCACTTTGTATAGTGGATAAGGTAAATATCGTAGCAACAAAGCAGGTTAGAAAAACATAGCAATATAGTCTTAGAAGAAAAAATCAGTATCTAATTTAAAAATAACAACTTTCGATCGAGGAACAAAAAAAAAAGGAAGAAAGATTAAACAAAGGCTGCTATATCTCATATAATTAGCATTCGAGCAAAGTAAAAATAAAATTAAACAAAGACATCTATATCTCAAGGCCTGGCATCCCCTGGTGGTTAGGGCGCTCGACTCACAATCTTCTATATCTCATATAATTTGGTAACATTAAGTGTCTAATTATTTCTTAATCTACGGTTCTTAATGAAAGTCAGTTTGTGAATTTGTATTACGAAGAGAATTCTTTTCTTTGAGTTTTAATCTCCTTTACTTCACTTTAACTGCTAGATACCATTTATCTGGCTAAGTAGTTTCTGATAAGGTGAGTCGTACATTTTCTAAGAATACCAATAGATTTTAGATAATCTTGCAGACTATTTAAAAAAAGAAAGTTGAGCTTTTTATCGTTTAATATTCTTACTCTTAAGGAATTACTCTCTGGAAAAGTCTAAAAGAAACTAGATGTTTCATTGTAGTATTTATCTAACTGCGTATTTCTTTAGAACATTTTAGGTCAATTAAATTTTTGAAGACTTATTGTATTGTTAGTTAATTAAGAAGCAATAGAACAAAATAAAAAAATATCAAACTATTTGTAACGATTATTTCTTTATCTATACAATTTTGTGAAAAGAAGTTTTTGAATTTAGAAACAAGCGTTCGAGAAGGAGAGATGCATTTTGAATATTCCGACTATGCTAATTATAACACTAACTACAAATAGTGTTTCTTCAAAGAGTACCAGGGGTGGAGGAAGAAATTATGGATTGGTCAGGCAACTCGGCAAAGTATGTCAGTGCTAGGAGGGTCTGGGGTCAGGAAACTTCAGAAAAACATGTACTCTGACATTGAATTTTCTGCTCATTTTACTATAATTTATTGAAAGTATTAATCATTTGCAAGTATTATTCAGAAAAATAGGTTCTCATTAGCACTTACATTCACCATAGCTATAAGCAAGCACAAGCATGTACACTTGCAGGTTACACATTGTTACACTGATACTACTATAAGTCTATCTATTTACGTAGAAACAATTTTTGAAGTGTAAGTTAAAGTTTAAAAAGCCCTACAGTTACTGTGACAAAATGCTGGTCTGGCTGCTGCCCGTTCTGCTGGACCTGATCCGGCGCACATGAGTACAGTACCATCTGTAGATTTAATAAGTGTGCCACGTGCACACGTTATTTTCTGACGTATACGCCAAAGTTTACACGCATTTATCGTTCACAATTTTTTTTGTGGTGTTACTTAGTTACTTATAGACTTAATCGTTTAGATGTTAAATATATAGAATTGTTCACTTCCCTTTACAATAATTTGTGTTCTTTCACTAAGAACTCTCTCATTTTATGTCTTTAGAATCATTTACTATTTTTGTGGTCACGGTGATACCCGCAGTTTTTCCTCAGATTCCCTCTTCATCACGATAATATTTGTAACTACAACTATGATATTTTCTTATTTCAGTTATGTAATAGTTATATTTTATTCCAGATATATAGTGTTTTTAAATATAATTGCGATATGTTATTTCAGATATATATTTTTATTTATAACTGCAATATTTTTATTCCAAATATATACATAACTGTGATATATTTTGTTCCATACATATAATATTTGTATATACAACAGCAATGGCTTTTTATTGCAGACATACCACTACTTCAAGCTGTAGTCGACAGTCAGATCAATCTTCCCTGCAATATCAGCCTTCCTTCTGAAGACGATTCCATATCTTTAGTGTTGTGGTACAAGTCGGGGATAAGCGCTCCTATTTTCAGTGTTGACGCGCGATATGGGCCATTAGAGAACTCTAAACACTTCACTAGTGAATTTCTGGGACAGAGAGGATACCTGGACTTTAACTTTGAGAGTGATTTAGCTTTTTTGATTATCAAACCTGTTGAAGATGGGGATGAAGGAGATTATAATTGCAGGGTGGACTTTCGATGGGGACGAACTCTTAAGAGTGCCGTGAAAATCGATGTTATTGGTATGTAAGCTATACTAGATTACATCTTAATCTGTTGTTATCAGATGTGTACTTTTTGTGTGTAAGCTACACTGGATTATATCTTAATCTGTTGTTATCAGATGTGTAATTTTTGTGTGTAAGCTATAGTGCATTACACCCCAATTATTTATCAACAAGCTCATAATATTTATGAGCGTTTTAGTGAATTTGAAGTTTTAAAATAATAAGGTGTTGACTGCGATTCGTGAAAATCGACTGAACATAAAAGCAAGTGACTGTTAAGAATAAACAACTGGTATCTTGCAGAAATATAAATTAAATAGATAATTTGAAAATGCTATATAAAGCATTTCTATGCTGTTTAAAAATAAGTTGATTCATTATATTTAAAAAAGGGTGGTTGATATAATATCTTTCTTACTTACGTTTTAAATTGCTTCATGTCAACCGGGTTATATAAAACTCATTTTGTATACAAATACCAAGGGGACGACGAAATAATCCCTTTATTAATAGAAATGTAATCATTAGACTAATGTTTGATGAATGTGTTCACCTATATCATGATGACCGTGTTCATTCCCGTTGTGGGCTTAATGTCAAAGAAACAGAAATCCCTATATGTAACACGCGTACACATGTGTGTGTGTATGCGTGTGATTATCTGTCGTTTTGTTCAACTGGTAACTCTTAATCAGCTTCGTGTATGTGTTTCATAAAGTTCCTAACTAGAGGTCACTGCAGTCGTTATGATAAGTTCTTGTTTGTAATAGTTAATAATTACTTGGATCATTTCTTTTTTTGTTTAACCAATAAGTTAAAGTACTTGGAACGTTCGCCTCAAAATACACCCAGCTTTCAAATATTTTCGGGAAGAAATCTCTACTTTTCTGATAGGCTGCGATACCATTTAATCTGCAAGCGCTATCTGGTTGACGAATCTAAAAACTGTATTTCATTGTATTTCTCTAGTTCCCCCTAGAAGCGTTCTTATTACCAATGAGAAAATTGAGCTTTTGTACGGAACGATTGGTCCTTATGACGAAGGTTCTTCCCTGATCCTTCGCTGTATAGCGAAAGGAGGTAAGTGATTATATTATATCGTTCGAAGTAAGTTTACTTAAAATTCAGAAGGTGGAAAAATGTTTTTAGGTAATTGTTGTTAGTGTTTTAAGACAAAAACTTTCTTTTCACTATAGCACAAACAATTTTAACACTTATAAAAGGGTTCTGTACTTTTTTTACATATTATTTATTTTGTTATCTTCCATATTTTAATTTTGTATCCTGGGTTATTACTTAGCCCCATATTATTTATTTTATTATCTTCCATATTTTAATTTTGTATCCTTGGTTATTGCTTAGCCCCATTTTATTCATTTTGATTATCTTTCGCTTTTTCTTCATGTTTTTGTCAATTCCTTCTTTCTTTTTTGCTTTGTTTTGAGTTTGTTCTCTACTTGCTCCTTACTTCAAATTTTGTTCAACGACACCCATTAATCTAGCTTTTTGTAGCCTGACTCTTTATTAAACTTATCCCTACACTAGTCTAGTTTTCCTTGACTTTCTCTAAGTTCATAATTTTTTTTTCTTGTTACAACAGTTCCTTTTTTCTCCGTTAGTTTTGCATTCAAAGTTCTTTAAATTATGCTTCTCACTCTTTCTTGTGTCTTGTCACTATGAAATTAAATGTATATATAGAATTCAGCCTGCTAGACAAAATATATATTTAATATGATGGAAAACGACTGGAGAAAGTTTGAAATTATATTACACCGAACATGTTTTCTTTTTTTTCTGAGGTATTTTTTTTTTCCAAATATGGAATGAAGTAACACTGAATTTATAAAACAGGTACATTGGAAGAATTTAAACTATTTCCAGTTTGCTTCATTCTATCAAGATAACCTGATTCCCTAACTTACCTGTGACACGTGATGATATATCGCACAAATTGGTCATAGTGTCTGAAAGGTTTACGTCACAAAACCATAGAAATAGCTTCAACAATGTTCGGAGTTAGAATAAATTGAAGAAGACTCTTCTCTGAATTGATATTTTAAACATTAATGCTCTTGTCCATTAGTCTCCAGAACTGAACTTTTTTCTTTTTTACGATATAATATTCATAATTCTTGCGGATCAATTAAATAGGCGATTGGATGACGTATTTTATTATATAGTGATCACTGAGAATAAAATTCTCACCGTACAAATTTTTGGTGATGAAGTTTTCTGATAACAATTTGTTAAAACGAAGTTTGTCTTCGATTGGTTGCCGCACTCCGAAAAAAATATTTTGCAAACACGGTTATTTAGTTTAAATACAGCTTAAGGAAGCATTTCTGTAGTGCTTTCATGTTTCTTTTAACCACTAAACTTTAGATACTCTTAGTTACTGACTTTCGAGTGTTAGTTCATTTGCCATTCTTACGTGAAAAGTGCGTTCTTTATCAGTGGTACATGTAACGCTTGTACCCAGCTGAAAATGACGAAGGTAGGAAACGTATTTGCTTACACGCATCAACTAACTTCTAAAACTTCACGTTGGAACTTGTTAGGAATCTAATGTCAGTACACTAGCAAAACAAATATCTTACCGTATGTGTCTCACGGGAAAGCTAGGACCAAGAACTGTATAGAAGACATCTCAAAAACAATATGCATTGAATAGGAAAAGAAAGTATCATGAAGATTATTTTTGTTAACCAGTTTTTAGAAGAAAGTATCATGAAGATTATTTTTGTTAACCAGTTTCTAGAAGAAAGTATCCTGAAGATTATTTTTGTTAACCAGTTTTTAGAAGAAAGTATCGCGACGATTATTTTTGTTAACCAGTTTTAGAAGAAATTATCCTGAAGATTATTTTTGTTATCCAGTTTTTAGAAGAAAGTATCCTGAAGATTATTTTTGTTAACCAGTTTTTAGAAGAAAGTATCCTGAAGATTATTTTTGTTAACCAGTTTTTAGAAGAAAGTATCATAAGATTATTTTTGTTAACCAGTTTTTAGTTTGTTTCTTTGTAATTAAGCACAAAGCTACACAATGGGCTACCTGTGCTCTGCCCACCACGGGTATCGAAACCCGAATTCTAGCGTTATAAGTCCGCAGACATACCGCTGTGCCACTGGTGGGCCATTAGCATAAAACTTTGAAGACGATATATGAATGAATGAATACATTAGAAAGCAAAGCTGATTCTTTTTTTTGGCAAGAAAACCTTGGTTGTTTAAAAGATAAAATTTCCAATAATTTTCAGGATAATATTGAAAAATAAGATACGTGGATAAGCTTCATATGGCGTTTAGAGAAAGTCAAAGAGGTCCTTAAAATGTACTAAAATTATGGCGCAAGGTTCATGGGTAAATCAGTTTAGAAACGGTAATTTCTTTCTTAACCCAGTTGAAAATCTTAACTTGGTATGTACTTCATTCAATCAGTTTATAAATGGAAATTCATAAGTTTCACTTTTGTTGGTTATTACAAACTTTGGAATTTTTCAGTTACTGAGAGTCATTAAAGATTCAAAGCAATTATTCTAGAGAATTTTCAGTTATCGCATTTCCACGTTGGATCAAAAAGAAAGAAATTACCGTTTCTAAACTGATTTACCCATGAACCTTGCGCCATAATTTTAG